TGTATTCTGCACTATAATCTTGATTAAACAGCTGATTAGAGTAAAAATCACTTTCAGTTTTCTACTACAGTACAGAGGAGCTTTGGTTACGTCTCCAGCCGCCGTGATGATAATGTGAACCAGGATTTCAATTAAAAGTCGTCCAAATAGGCAGGTGGATGACAAAAAAAAATTGATCTTTTTTGTTGTTTGTTTTTGAAGTTTCTTGTCTGTGGGAACCTGTCTATCTACACTGAGATACATCCATCCAAGAAGATGGTAGGTATACTGTGATTTTATGATGTAGTTTTAGTGTTTAACTTTATTGCTTCATGCTCAGTCTGTCCTTCTTTTTTAATAACTCACCTAATCTTTTTGAATTTACCTTCCCCAGGTGACCGTGTCTTTGGCCATGTATGTGGTTACACTTTTGGGAGTCTTCGTCTCTGTTGGCTTCAGGATATACTCCTTGGTCGAATATTCTGCCTTTTATTCCAGGAGCTGGTATAGAGATAAGGATGTAATATACCAAATGGTGAGTTACATCATATACTGTATGTTTTCAGCTCTATGGACACATTTTCACCTTGTATGAATAACTTTCACTTTCTCTTGCTTCTGGAACAGCTTCTTGGTATTGAGAGCGTATTGCTCACTTCCTCTCTATGTGTGTTGGTGCTTCTCATCTTCTTGAGTACCATCGCACGTTTAGCTCTGAAATCCACACACTCTCAGGTAAAACATTTCACATATTTCACATTACGTCTTCTAAAACAGGCATTTCACACAGAGACTTAAGATTTGTATTTTAAATCTAAGCCTCTGGAGGGAGATGTTTTTGAACAGTATAAAGTTGCAGAGGGCAGGCAAGAATGTACTAAGACTAAATGAAAACCACAAATAATGACATGAAAGGTAGGGTTTTAGGGACCTTTTCAAAGTTTATTTTCAACTGAATCCAAATACACATTCTCTTTTGCAATGTTTTTCTGTTGAAAGGTGCCTTCTGTAGGATTTAGAGGCATCTATTGGCAGACATCAAATATAATGTTCATAATTATGTTGTCATTAGTGTATATTCACCTGACAATAACATACAATACAATACATCTTTATTGTCCACCATAGGTGGAAATTTGTCTTTTGCTCACCAAAAACACAAAAGACAACTTTGTATAAGCAGACAAAATAAAACAAACAAAACATATTCATTACAGAAATACTTCACACTTTAAATCAGCTCAGTGTCTGTCTGTGGTTTAAAGCTCATCAGTCACTTTGTTGAGTTAAGGATATTGATGGCACTCGGGATGAAGGGCCTCTTAAATACATCTTTGGTTGCCAGAGGGACTCTTTAGCCCCTCCCAGAGCTCAAGACTTTAAGCTGGCTAAAAAGAGGGTGAGAAGTATCTTCCAAGATACTCCCTGCTTTCTTCCTCGTCATTTCTGTAAAGAGCTGTCTGGCTTTTGTGGTCTGCCAACTATTTTACTTGCCAGTGTCACAATCCTACAAAGTTTATTCTCACTAATAACCATGTATGTTTCTGCAGTGAGGTTTTTGCATATTTCGTCACATTCTGTCCTGCCATCCACATGCTTGGAAAGGTAAGGGGAGAGTGGAGGGGTATACAGTTGGTTGTAATTTGCAACTTCACCACTAGATGCCACTAAATCCTACACAGTGCTTATTTAATCTTTATTTGCCCAGAAAAGCCTTATTGGGGTTAGGGCAGCATTAATAATGAGTCAAACAACATAAGACAGATATCGCAAAATCAGAATTAAACAGAAACACAGTTGTAAAATAATGGTAATAAAATTTCTAATACAATATTATCAAAGATTTTGTCCTTAGAAACAACCTAAATGGGGCCACTGATAAATGATGTTGTTTAACAGCTGTCTGTCTGTCATCATGTTATTGCCTTCTTGCTGTCCTCTTCCCTAACCTGTCCCATCTCTGTATCTTCAACAGGTTATTTTCCAGCACATCCCGACACCCCGGAGTGACAAAACGTGAAACTAATCTCAACCTTTTGAAGTATTATTCTACATGAACTAACACTGTAATCATTATACTAACTGTACCACTGGACATTATAGCACATGTGAATATTACACCACCTACAGGCGGTAGCATTAATAGGACAGCCACAACCCTTTTTTTTTTTTTTTGCACAGCTGCACTAAGTTTCACTCTACACTATACATAACTGCAGCAAGAAATGTATTACTGAAACACAACTGAGCCTTTTTTTTCCCTGGAAATACTTCATTGTGAAAATAAGACTGTGTGACAGATCAACACCATATTGACTTATGTCGATGATAACCCCATTATGCTTCACTGTCCAGGACTGCATTGAAGAAATATTTTCACCTGGAGGCAACCATTTTTCATATCTCTGCCACATCTCACACAAGAGGAGATCCCTTTTGTTCCAAGTCTCAGTGAATTAAAAGACAACATTAAAACTCTTTTCAGAAAGAAAGAGAATCGGCACATTTCTCAATATGTTTAACTATTTATTTATACAGTGGGATATTTAAATGTTTATGGAGTATCACATATCACTGTAATATCACATTTGATTTACTTCAATTGAGACTTTTGAGAAGTCACATTATATACATACAAAAGACAATAAAATAAGAAAAAAGTTAAAACATTGTGCAGGAGAGGTTGGAAGACAAAAAAAGCTTATAAAGAATACCTCCCCTATATAGCTAACAATGAACAGACTTCAAGGTGTCAAGGCTAAGTAGTAATATTAAACTGATAGAAATGAATGTATACAAGGTGTGATGCATTACAATGAGCTAAAACAATTTCAGATATTTTGAAAAATGTAGATGTTGATTGTAGAGATGTAGGTAAGTTATTCCAAAGAGATGGTCCTCTGTATTTCAGTGTATATTGATTCAGGGAAGTCCGACATTATGGAAGATGGAAGTCCTTTGAGTGTCTTGTACAATAAGAATGAATGTCTGAAAAAACAATAAAAAATTCTGAAAAGCGCTGGACAATTGATGAGTTAGGTGCACATATTTGTATAAATGGACACACAAGTCTGGTATATGTTCACATTAAAAATTGATAGTTTGTCTTTTCTGAAAAGAGGAGCAGATGAAACAGATTTTTCAGCGAAACTCATCATTCTCAAAAATTTCTTTTGAATAAACAAAATCATATTGAGAAAAGTGGGACATGTGGCACCCTGCAGTGTTACAGAACATAATATACGGATAAATTAAGCTGTAATTAAGTCAAAATACAAGAATGATTTATCAATGAATGAACTCTACTCAAAACGAATATGAGGAACCAGAGTAATTCTAGTATTATCTATGAATAATTTGGCGTCTTCTTTAGTATACTTTTTATTTTTGTTACAGAATATTAGAAAATTAGATTTAATTATATTGAGAGTTCATCTGAAACCATTTAGAGATTGATGATAGCTCTTCATTTGCTTCTCGAATCAGTGTGCTAGAATTTGCATGTGAAGCAATAAGACACATGTCATCAGCAAATAAAAGAGGCAGTGCATTATTGCAGACTCTGAGTAAATCATTTATATACATTAAAAACAAGAGAGGTCCAAGGATGGAACCTTGAAGGGCCCCACAAAGAAGCGTAGCTCTATTTGAATTGTGTGTATTTAGAAATACATATTGTTCCCTGTCCTTTAAATGATCAATCAACCATTTAGGAGCAACATCATGAAAACCATATTTTTGTAGTTTAGCAATAAGGATATTGTGATCAATGGTGTCAAAGTCTTTTGACTTTTTGAATGAACTGCAAAAGGGCCATTTCTGTTGACTTTTGTTTTTCTTCTCATCTCAATGTTTTTTTAATTCTTGAATATACTAGTTTCTCTAAAACTTAAGAAAAAGTGGGTAAGACAGATATGGGACGATAATTTGTAAATATGCTACAATCACCTGATTTAAATAGTGGAATGACTTTAGCTAATTTAAGGTCACTTGGTTCAACACCTGTTTTTAGAGATAAACTTGAAACATGGGTGAAGGACTCAACAATAGACAAAAGTACTGTCTTTATAAGACTAGAACTTATTTCATCATGTCCTGCAGCAGAATTTTTCAAATCCAATATAATGTCATGTACTTCTTTAGAGGTGGGGGGTCAAACATACTGATTTACATCTAAGGATTGATATATTGTATTTATAAGTTTGTTCTTGTGCATTTTCCATTTTGCTGTGACAGCTCACTCCAGCGCTTTCTGCTCTGCTCTGCTGATTCTCAACTTGCTCCCTGGACTGATTCAGCTCCTCCCTTTCTCTCAAGGCATCAATACCATGGTCTGTGCAACTTTGATATTGTTGCTCTCATAAGATATTTATGTTGTCATTGTAGCACTTGATGATAAACAGTGTGTTTGTTCTGTTATTCTTATCTTTGGCATAATGTAGAGTTGTTGCACGTTCCCACAGTGCTACACTAATCTCACAGGTCTGTGCCTTCTTGTTATACTCAGATCCTGAGGGTTCTAGCTAATATTGCCCACAAGAAAAAGGAGTTCTGTGTCCAGCTGGCCCATCATGGATTACTGTCTGCACTCTGTGCCACACTTAAAATGGCCTACCAAGAGATGGTGACCCTGAGTATGGATGTCCTGTTCATGCTCCTAGGTAGTGGTCCACAGGTAAATAAGTGAAGCCTTTAAAACTGTGATGCTGCTCAATGGGAACTGTCAAACCAGCCTATGATGAGCTTTTACCAAGCTACTCTACAGTTTCTATTCTTTCCCTTTAGGTGGCAGAGGAGTTTGTGAGGCAAGGCAGACTCTCACTGTTAGAAGCCATTCAGTACAACAGTGAAGGAGAGATTAGACGGAGAGCAACACATCTGCTGGAGCACCACCTGCTGTCCTACTCATCCTATTGCTCGGGAAAGACTTTCATGCTGACTTGCAAACCAAGTTTCCAGCTCCTCCCTATAACGGAAAAAAAATGCAGAAGTCTCAAATTTCCCCACTTCCCTTTTATACCCTCAACACTCCCTTCCCATTGTCAGTCACACTGCCTCTCTGCATGAAATACTAAAACAAGGTAGGTCACTTCATGTTTTTGTATAAATCACTGCATTCTTTGAGGCAGCTTTATAATCTTGCATTCAGCAGCTATCTGAGCTAATTCTCTTACTCTACTACTCTTTAAATCTGCATAGTGGACTCAAAATACAGTATGTGTAGCACAGTGGAAAGTATACATCTGCTTCTGTTAACTCTTCTTCTCTAGCGTGTGGATTTACTGGCAATGGAAGGAACTGAGTCAACAACTAGAGAGAGAACAACAACAGGAAATGTTGGGAATCAGGCAGCAGTCAACATGGAGCTGATGTCTGGCAAGCCTTTGCATCGCTTTGTCCGAAACGAGCCCAGAAGTCTTGGGGTAACACATCTGACAATCCAGAGCCACAGCAATGACAGTCACATGATATATGATGTACACAAGAGCAGCTCCAAACTGTCTGCTGTAAGTGTTGTAATCCATCCTTCCTCTTCTCCTTCCCAGATTGTCATGTTGGTCTTTGGCTGTGCAGAGCTCCTGATGGGATTTCCCCTGGCCAAACAAGGTGCGCGCACATCTTGGACAATCTACATTCCCCTCTGGCAGGGAGCTCTGGTGCGTAACATTTGAACACATGCACTTGTTTTTTTTACAATGACAGTGTTGTAGTCAGTGTGGTTACATGGACATGAATAATATTCTGGTTATAATCATATTTGGGATATGGTGTTTACATGAGCACAGACAAACTGGGTTATTCCATAGATCCAGGTTTCTTTCAGAGAAGTATAATGGTTTTCTTATGTACGGAATATGGTGTTTCCATGCTTAAACACATAAATGTGATACTCCAAAAAACAGATTATAAATGGGTTATTCATGTCCATATAAACACACTCACTACCAGAGTGACTCTTTAAGCCCCCTTCAGAGCTTACTGTATATATTTTGGGAAATAGGCTTGTTAGCTTTCTTGCTATGATCAATATCACGCTCATGTATGTGCGGTAAATGTTAAACTAGCAGCTAATCCTAGCATAAAGACTAGAAACGATGTTAACCTGGCTGTCTGAAGGTGACAAAATCAACACCAGCACCTCTAAAGCTCTTTTACTAAAGGTGACATAATGCAAAATGCAGTGTTTCATGGCTTTTCAACATAAATGTGTGTCCCTGGTGTGTGCAGAGGTCCCCAAACTGTCAGAGTTTTAATCAATCAATTGATTAATTTGTCTCATGAAATTATATAAAATACATTTTCAGTGACATGTAATCATGTCAGTCCCTCCAATCTGTGCATTAAAAAAAGACTAATAGTGAAGATTGGGCAGTCATAGGCAGGATCTTCATTCAGGATCCTTGTGGCCTGAAGGTAGAGGCTTTTCCTGAGCCTCTCAGTGCCGCCTTGTTGTAATCAGTACCTTCCTCCGGGCCTCAGCAGGGGGAAAATGCCGATATCCGGTTGTTTGGGATACATACTGATTCTCCTCATGTTTGCAGCATCTGCTGTAAACATCCTATAGGTTAGAGCAGCGCCGATAGTTTGCTCAGGTGAATGAAGCACTCTTTGCTCTCTGAGGGGAAAGCTGGAATGTCCTCATGCGTCTCAGGTTAAACAGTCTCCGCCTTGCCTTTCTCACCACTGAGTCAGGATGCAGCACCCAGGTCAGGCCCTTGGTGATGTGGACACCAAGGTACTTGGTACTATATACCTTCTCCACCGAAGACCTGTTAATATTAAGGGGAGGCGTACTTACTTTCCTATTCATTCAAATAAACACAAGAAGTTTGTGCTCTAGAGAAAGGATCAGCACTCAGTGAATAACCTCCTAAGCCCTATAAGCTATTATGGCAAGGCTTAACTATACAGACCAGTGAGCAGTGATAACTAAGATGTCTTTGGGGTCATCAGGTGGGAATCTATTAGTCTATTATCGTCTCCTTAGCTTTGACATTCAGGAGTAGGTTGTTGTCTTGACACCACAGGTCCTCTACTTCCTTCAGTGGGCCTTTTCATTGTCATATTTCCTCCTGCTCCATCTATCTGAAAACATGTAACTACAAGCGGTCATATTTGATGCTGGATATGACATTATATGCCAGGTGCAACAGTGTAGAACCATAGACTGTAAAACAAAGATGGATGACATGACAGCTCTCCATAGTGAAGCAAAAACATCTTGATCGCCCCCTGGTGGCTGGCTGCAGTACATGTCATTAATCCCACCCCGTCAATGTTAGCGGACGGGACATTGGCCAAACTAAAAAATCTAAGAATACGTCAACCATTTTTTATACAAGGCTGTAAATGTGTATTTCTGATAATAAGTTGAGCATTTTACCATGGGGGTCTATGGGGGTTGACTGGACTCTGGAGCCCGCCTCAAGAGGCCGCTCAAAGAACTGCAATTTTTGGCGCTTCCACTTTGGTTTTGACAAACTTGTTATATCATAAATCAGCTTTAAATTTTTAAAGTTTTCTACTACAGTACAGAGGAGCTTTGGTTACTTCTCCAGCTGCCATGATGATAATGTAAACCAGGATATAAAAGTCATCCAAATATACTGCGGGTGAATGACAAAAAAAATAATAAAAAAAGTGATCTTTTTTGTTGTTGTTGTTTGTTTTTGAAGTTTCTTGTCTGTGGGAACCTGTCTATCTACACTGGGATACATCCATCCAAGAAGATGGTAGGTATACTGTGATTTTATGATGTAGTTTTAGTGTTTAACTTTATTGATTCATGCTCAGTCTGTCCTTCTTTTTTTAATAACTCACCTAATCTTTTTGAATTTACCTTCCCCAGGTGACCGTGTCTTTGGCCATGTATGTGGTTACACTTTTGGGAGTCTTCGTCTCTATTGGCTACAGGATATCCACCTTGATCGAATATTCTTTCATTTACTACTACAGGGGCTGGTATAGTGATGAAAGTACAGTAAACAGAATGGTGAGTTACATCATAAACTGAATGTTTTCAGCTCTATAAACACATTTTCAATTTGTATGAATAACTTTCACTTTCTCTTGCTTCAGGGACAGCTTACTGGTATTGAGAGCATATTGCTCACTTCCTCTGTGTGTGTGTTGGCGCTTCTCATCTTCTTGAGTACCATCGCACGTTTAGCTCTGAAATCCACACACTCTCAGGTAAAACATTTCACACCATCACTTCTTCTAAAACAGGCATTTCACACTGAGACTTAAGATTTGTAATTCAAATCTAAGCCTCTGGAGGGAGATGTTTTTGAACAGCAAAAAGTTACAGAGGGCAGGCAAGAATGTACGAAGACTAAATGAAAACCACAAATAATGACATGAAAGGTAGGGTTTTAGGGACCTTTTCAAAGTTTATTTTCAACTGAATCCAAATACACATTCTCTATTGCAATGTTTTTCTGTTGAAAGGTGCCGTCTGTAGGATTTAGAGGCATCTATTGGCAGACATCAAATATAATGTTCATAATTATGTTGTCATTAGTGTATATTCACCTGACAATAACATACAATACAATACATCTTTATTGTCCACCATAGGTGGAAATTTGTCTTTTGCTCACCAAAAACACAAAAGACAACTTTGTATAAGCAGACAAAATAAAACAAACAAAACATATTCATTACAGAAATACTTCACACTTTAAATCAGCTCAGTGTCTGTCTGTGGTTTAAAGCTCATCAGTCACTTTGTTGAGTTAAGGATATTGATGGCACTCGGGATGAAGGGCCTCTTAAATACATCTTTGGTTGCCAGAGGGACTCTTTAGCCCCTCCCAGAGCTCAAGACTTTAAGCTGGCTAAAAAGAGGGTGAGAAGTATCTTCCAAGATACTCCCTGCTTTCTTCCTCGTCATTTCTGTAAAGAGCTGTCTGGCTTTTGTGGTCTGCCAACTATTTTACTTGCCAGTGTCACAATCCTACAAAGTTTATTCTCACTAATAACCACGGATGTTTCTGCAGCGAGGTTTTTGCATATTTCGTCACATTCTGTCCTGCCATCCACATGCTTGGAAAGGTAAGGGGAGAGTGGAGGGGTATACAGTTGGTTGTAATTTGCAACTTCACCACTAGATGCCACTAAATCCTACACAGTGCTTATTTAATCTTTATTTGCCCAGAAAAGCCTTATTGGGGTTAGGGCAGCATTAATAATGAGTCAAACAACATAAGACAGATATCGCAAAATCAGAAATAAACAGAAACACAGTTGTAAAATAATGGTAATAAAATTTCTAATACAATATTATCAAAGATTTTGTCCTTAGAAACAACCTAAATGGGGCCACTGATAAATGATGTTGTTTAACAGCTGTCTGTCTGTCATCATGTTATTGCCTTCTTGCTGTCCTCTTCCCTAACCTGTCCCATCTCTGTATCTTCAACAGGTTATTTTCCAGCACATCCCGACACCCCGGAGTGACAAAACGTGAAACTAATCTCAACCTTTTGAAGTATTATTCTACATGAACTAACACTGTTTTCCTGCAGCACACCTGTCCTGTGAAAGAAGCAGGTCATCATTGTGCCCAGTATATCACATGTGAATATTACACCACCTACAGGCAGTAGCCTCAATAGGACAGCCACAGCTCTTTTTTTTCTTTTTTTTTTGCACAACTGCACTAAGCTTCTCTTGACAGTATATATAACTGCAGCAAGAAATGCATTACTGAACCACATTTATTTTCTTTTTGTAAAGTTTGCTTCAGAATCAAAGTGATTCCTGTCGTCTCATGTGAGAAAAACATAGTAACCACGAGTCTCTCAAGGCTTATATGTACTTATTGTACAGGTTATGCAGTCGTAAACAGTTAGCTATAGTACTTTGAGGTTAACAGGTCTTACACGCCGATACTGATATCTGTCAATAAAATCTACTGCATTCACTAAAACTTAATACTGTACAAACCATAACAATGTAAGTTAACACTGGTAATATTGATTATACAGTGCCCTCCAAAAGTATTGGAACAGTGAGTCCAATTCGTTTACTTTTGTTGTAGACTGAAAACATTTGGGTTTGACATCAAAAGATGAATATGAGACAAGAGATCAACATTTCAGCTTTTATTTCCAGGTATTTACATCTGGATCTGATACACAACTTAGAAGATAGCATTATTTGTAATGGAACACAAATTTTTTAGGTGAGCAAAAGTATTGGAACATATAAACTTAAAATAGATTAAAGTGAATGAGACTTAATATTTAGTTGCAAATCCTTTGCTTTCAATAACTGCATCAAGCCTGTGACCCATTGACATCACCAAACTTTTGCATTCTTCTTTTGTGATGCTTTTCCAGGCTTTCACCGCAGTCTCTTTCAGTTGTTGTTTGTTTTGGGGGGTTACTCCCTTCAGTCTCCTCTTCAGCAGGTAAAATGCATGCTCTATTGGGTTTAAGTCTGGAGACTGACTTGGCCAGTCTAAAACCTTCCACTTCTTGCCCCTGATGAACTCCTTTGTTGTTTTGGCAGTGTGTTTTGGGTCGTTATCTTGCTGCATGATGAAGGATCTCCCAATCAGTTTGGTTGCATCTTTCTTTAAATTAGCAGACAAAATGTTTCTGTAGACTTCTGAGTTCATTTTGCTGCTGCCATCATGTGTTACATCATCAATGAAGATGAAAGAGCCCGTCCCAGAAGAAGCCATGCAAGCCCAAGTCATGACATTACCTCCACCGTGTTTCACAGATGAGCTTGTATGTTTGGGATCATGAGCAGATCCTTTCTTTCTCCAAACTTTCGCCTTTCCATCACTTTGGAGTTGTTAAGGAGTTAATCTTTGTCTCATCAGTCCATAAAACTTTTTCCCAGAATTTTTGAGGCTCATCTCTGTATCTTTTGGCAAATTCCAGCCTGGTCTCCCTATTCTTCTTGCTAATGAGTGGTTTGCATCTTCTGGTGTAGCCTCTGTACTTTTGTTCATGAAGTTTTGTGCGAACAGTAGATTGTGATACCTTCACTCCTGCTCTCTGGAGGTTGTTGCTGATGTCACTAACAGTTGTTTTAGGGTCTTTCTTTACAGCTCTCACAATGTTTCTGTCATCAACTGCTGATGTTTTCCTTGGTCTACCTGTTCGACGTCTGTTGCTTAGTACACCAGTGGTTTCTTTCTTCTTCAGGACATTCCAAATGGTTATACTGGCTATGGCCAATGTTTGTGCAATGGCTCTGATTGATTGTCCATCTTCTCTCAGATTCACAATTGCTTCTTTTTCACCCATAGACAGCTCTCTGGTTTTCATGTTGGTTCCACTTCTAAATGCAGTCTGCACAGGCAAAACCTATCGTACCCAATCTGAAACTGAGCTCAGACATTCAGTGCTATTTATTGTTTGAATAATCAATGTAATTGGGAGACACCTGGGCAACAAAACACACCTGTCAGTCACATGTTCCAATACTTTTGCTCTCATGAAAAATGGGTGGGTTCAAACAAAAGGTGCTATTTTCTAAGTTGTGTATCAGATCCAGATGTAAATACCTGGAAATAAAAGCGGAAATGTTGATCTCTTGTCCCATATTCATCTTTTGATGTCAAACCCAAATATTTTCAGTCTACAACAAAAATAAAGGAATTGGCCTCACTGTTCCAATACTTTTGGAGGGCACTGTATACTGTACGTACTATTAGCCTTTAACCCTTATGCCATGATCATGTTTCTGCTTTGTGATTACAGTATGTGCAGGGTATGGCCATTATATGTATGGCCACATACAGCTGTGAATAATCACTGTAATGTTCAGCATGTCCGTCGACATTACTGTGATAAGAAGAGCCTAAGAAAAACACAGATTTAGCTTTAGCTTATAGTAATATGTGATGCAATGAATGTAATGTATATTGTCTTTGTTAAATTAACAATAAAATGATCAAATAAAATGATGTCCAGATTGATGATCATATTACACACACACACACACACACACACACACACACACATCTATATGCATAGACTGCACTAACACACTCTGTCTGCACAAGTAGAACCACCCAGACATGGTGCACTATAGTCTAACTGGCACTGTTGAATAGAAGTAGCCGACAGTCTGTAGTAAAGTTTGTACCTGCAAGAGTACTTTGAACACTGTATTAGAGAGCCAGCAAATAATTAATCAGGATGTTTGTTTTAGGTTTGTCAGAGTTCAAGATACCAAGTTAAAGGAGTAATGTGTAGGATTTAGGGGGATGTATTGGTAGAAATGGTAATTAACTATGTTTTCATTTGTGTAAGATCACCTGAAACTAAAGGCGCTTTCACATCTGCCCTGTTTGGTTCGTTTGGGCAGGTGTGAACACACCACTGCACTCGGGTGCCCACCAAAACATCCAGACTGAGTCAAAACATTGTTTTCTAGTTGGAGCCGCGCCTCATTTTCAAACTGTATGGTTTGACTAAAATGAACAATGACAGCAATACAGTTCACGATGACCAGCGCTAAAATCAACCTGTGTAGTTGTCCCTCCACTGTGACATTAGAAAGTGTCACATTTATCTTACAAGTGTACTCTTCTTCACTGTTTTGTTTACTTCCTGGATTTTTCCCGCATGGAAATTCTGACCAATCAAGAGCAGCTTTCTCGCACAAGGTATTTGATCTGGTCCACTTGTAAATGCTGCCGTGAGAACTTGAACCATCTAGGCAATTATGCAAATTTTTGACAAAATAAGTCCCTGATTCAGACCAAAGCAAATGAACACCTGAGACCTGTTATTCTGTTAGACATAGAAATTTTAGGTAGATATAAATGAATACTTTGACTTACAGATAAACATTTTGTTACCAAACTGATCAGCACCAGAAAATTTGTTGGTGTGATAAGAGACCTAAAAATGTTGAATTACTACTTGTGTTTGAGTCCTGTGTTGAATTTGGTGGTGGTGGAGCAACACCTTTAGTTAGATCACTGCTTTAAAAAGATTTCAGTATTTCTTCATGACTTTTGTGTAAGCACCACCCTAGTTCTGTTTTTTCACAGACAACTCCAAGTTTCATTAAGATACATGAGTTTGCTTCTCAGCACTGATTCAAATGCGATTTCAGTTCTGTTAATTTTCACTTGTGTGTATACTGTATTTATTGTTATAAGGTCGAAGCAAACTTGCATGAGCTGCACAGCCATGCACAACATTCATGTCACCATGATGATGTAACTGAGTGATGTATTACTTCTTAACCATTAAACTGTCTACTGTATGTGCGAGACATGTAGATGATGTTGGGATCCAGTAACTTCCCACCCTCAATTCACCAAGTTTAAGAAAAATCTCTACGACACCCCAACTGCATGAAAGTCTATATTTTATAGGAACAATGATTTAAATGCAACTTTCTCAGAGACCACAAACCACAAACAACTGCAATGGAACCAGCAACATTTTCGTAGCTTAATTTATTTCCAGTCATTTCACTGAGTATACAAACAGTAGTTCAACATTACAGTGGAAGTCCTCCCCTGATGTTGGTAGTCTAGGGAAGAGGGAAATCCAGCAGAGGCACTTCTTGTCATATTTGGTCCATGTGCATTTCTTCTTTTTAATGTTCACAGTATTTAATAGACGTAGCTGGCGGTGTACAGAGACTGCATGGAGGCCTGGTCAGCTGAGCCGGAGGGCTTGTACTCTCCCTTGGCAGCCAGGCCGTTGATCTGGAGAGAGCAACAGAGGGGGAGAGTTAGGGCAAAGTCAAACCTGAGCGTTAATGATCAGCCTGGGCTACATTAGTGCAAGACTGCATGTCCAGAAAGCTTTTAAGAATCAATCATTTACCAGTCGGTATAAAGTTGGGTAATACAAGGGTAGAGTGATTTAACAGCCAGTTTTGTGCACAGTCCACAACTACGTATTGATAAGTGGGAATCATTTATTAGCGTCTGTTCAGTATTAGGTGATAGCTCTTCATGCCCTTTGAGACTAACCTTAGCCCTGGTGCAGAAAGCTTCCTGTGCAGCTGCCTTGTTGGCAGCTTTGCCCTGCCAGGCTGCAAGAGCAGAGGCCTGGAGTGCACGGCCGTATGAGAAGGTCAGCTTCCAGGGGCGGTGGAGGGGCACCTGGTTGATGGCGTTCAGGTTGCGGGAGGCCTCCTCCTCACTCTGACCTCCAGACAGGAAGCAGATGCCTGGAAAGACACAGAAAGCAGCATGCCACTGAGAAACTCTTCATTCCTCTTGAATTGGTTCGCTAAGGGAAAAGCTGGCCTTATGACACTTACCAGGCACAGAGGCGGGGACAGTGCGCCTCAGAGCGGTCACTGTGGCCATGGCAACCTCCTGAGGGGTGAACTTCTTAGCGCAGGAGTGTCCGGCAGTGACCATGTTGGGCTTCAGCAGAGTGCCCTCCAGGTACACGTGGTGATCAGACAGAGCCTTGTACACAGCAGCCAGAACCTGAACATGAAGAAGCAGATTTATTACTACACATGCTTTTAAATATGTTTTCCATCTTTACTGCTGGTGGTTTCGCCGACTAAGCGGAAGACAATGCACCAACCTTTTCTGTGACGTACTGGCAGCGCTGCAGGTCGTGCTCTCCGTCAGGCAGGATCTCTGGCTCCACAATAGGCACCAGGCCATTCTGGTGGAGAACAAAAATGTCAGTTTAAAATGTATTACTTGCAGCCAATATTTTTAAATCACAGCAAATTAATTTCTGTGCAGACTATGGCCGCACACACCTGTTGGCAGATACTGGCATATCTGGCGAGGACATTGGCGTTCTCTGCGATGGCGAGAGGTGACGGGCAGCCGTCTGAGATCTTGAGCACACACCTCCACTTGGCAAAGTCACAACCGTCCTTCTTGTACTGGGCACAGCGCTCCGACAGCCCATCAAGACCTGTAGAAAAATAAGCAACAGGGTGTAGGTATGCTGAGGGGAGGGTTATGTTCAGTCTGGATAACGCTGCTAATAAAAATAAAATCCATTTTCACCTTGTGTGGTGGTCTCTCCGTCTGTTCCATTCAGACCAGCTGTGCCTTTGTCCACCTGAACAAGAAATCAAAACACATCCATTAGCTTCGGATCAACATGTGGACAACCTGAGGATGAGTGCATTCGACTAGGCTCATCCTCCACTCACCTTGATGCCAACAACAATGCCCTTATCCTTGATGACTTGGGGGAAGAGCTTGCCGCTGTTTGCTTTCTGGTACAGTGTCTCATGGAAGAAGATGACCCCACCTATGCAGTTGGACATGGAGGCATCACAGGAGAAGAGGAGGTCACGGAAGCAGCGACGGTTCTCCTCGTTGTTCTCCACGTTGATTTTCTGGAGACGTTTTCCCATTGTTCCTTAAAAGTGGAAGAGGGAAATAATTTCAGTCGCACACTCTGCAGTCACCTCTCGTCGCAGAACAACAACTAGACACTTGAGGCTCACCTGTCGACTCATCTGCGGCCAGGATTCCCTTTCCTGGAGCTACGATCTTCTGAGCAATGTCAGAGAGCTCCTTCTTCTGCTCCGGAGACAGGGATGGAAACTGATGGGTCATCCTAGAAGGAGAAAAACAAGTTATTTCACAAAAACTCCTCAAGAAGTATGAGGAAGATGTAATCTTTTTTTCCAATCTAACACAATGAACCTCTGACGTCCTGTCTCTCTTGCACCACCTCTGTAAATATTTGGCTTGCATGGTTGAACTTTGGCCTTCAAGCAGATAAGTTCTGACTTTAGATGCGTAGACACAAGTTCATAGTTCACCTTAACTTGTTGCCTAATGTTTACTGCAAAAGCCCCCCCAACTTAATATCATAATATGCAGGCTGGCTTGGAATTAAAATTACGTGCACAATTTGCAGACATGCAATATGTGAGCACAAAAGGCACACTGAACACGGATGTGTTTACCTGCAAGTATTTGCACAAAGCCCGAGGCATAGTGGCAACCCTCAGGCTGACAGCATATAGGCTGCAACACTTGCAAAGTAAAATTACAACAAATCTACTCTTCAAATAGAAAAAATAAACTGTAACTTGAGCATTACTAATTGGCAGCCTGTTTTTCCAGCCCACTTCAGACTGTTAAAACGTGCATCTTGAATGCATGTATGCAACTTAACATCCATTACTGCACAATTAGAAACACGAGGAAACCCGAAGATGCAGACTAATCTTGCAGAAACCATGCAACTGGTTCAAGACAAACACAAAAGACAAGTGGAAATCAGTGACAGAAAGAGAACGCAAAAGCTAGAAACTAGAAAACAAGTCTTACTTTGACAGAGTTTTAATCAAATAGCGACGGCAACACAAATGGCACACAGCCTGGACAGCGTCCCGGAAGCGACTGATTGAAGGGGCCGAAGCTGAGGCTTTAAGCTGTATTTATTGCCTGCTTGGCGCTGTGGAGGAGGTGCTCGTGATGTGGCAGGGCGTGTGAAACCCCTGTAACGCAATTGGCCGGGTCGCACAGACAGGGGCGGTGTTTGCATGATAAGGCATCAATGCTCATTTGTGGACTTTAAGCTGATGTTAGAATCTGAGGTGAAAACAAGAAGCGAACACTGTGTGACGACTGAAACAAGCCATAACGTCGAAGTCTGCATGCAACACACAGTCCTGAAACTGCCTCAGTTTTTTCTGCTCGGTGCACGCACTGGGAAAATGATGATATGTAATGGAGGAGGCTGCTGCAATGTTGCAATTCAGGTTTCTTTGTTTCTTTTGTCCTGGTGAACAACATGATTCTGCCTGTCTGTGTCACACAGGAGTGTTCAGAGGACAGGTACAGTTTGATTTCCAATCCCAGAGTGGTGGGCAGAATTAAATTAGATGCATCACAGATCACAAAATGTATTCACAAAGACAGATAAAGAAAAGGCACATGTACAACTCATAAGAAACAATGGAGATGTGAAATGGAACACCCTGATAAGCTACGGAAAGCTTGAGAGCAGGGGCCCAGACATGAAGCAAATGTGTTCATGAACACACCTAGATTTAAAGAAAAGGAAAGTGCATATAATATACAGTAACATTTATAACCTGCAGAACTCCTAAGGCTGTAATGTTGAAGATACAATTCAAAAACAAAAACAAAACATTTGTTTAACAACCAGATACAGATCATGGCCCTAACTTATGTAACACTTTTTCCTTGTTTATTGAAAACGGCATCTTCCAAAGTCCTGCAGAGCATATACTGTACGTATCATGACATATACTTTCAACTGTGGGAATTTTTCTTTTTATATTATTTAGGTATACCCTTTCCTTTCCCTGCACATGGATTGTCATTATTTGTATGTCACTTTTTAGATTTTAATCCATGTGAATTGACATCTACACCAGGTTAAACTTCTAGTAGTTTTTTATTTTAGGATGTGCAATTATAATAAATTCACTTTTAGATTTAGAGTGTAATCACACTATTGTAGGACCAAGTTTTGGCCTACTTATGCTCGTACAGTTGCAACAGAAAAACTTGCTTTTTCATGCTACTTTGTGCTTGTTTATCTTCCTCATGCTTCACATTACTCGTCAAACGGGTCATGCATCAACTGTTTCCCTATCGATTGCTGAAAATGGCCCAAAAAGACTTGCAGGGGTGTTTGTAATGCCATCACCAGTCCATGAGTGACCTCAGCAGATAGGGGTGTTTGCACTGACAGTCTGGCATAGATCTGTAACTCACATTTGATGACTTTTGCACAACTCGGACTCTGCACCCACTGTGCAATGTACTCTTTAATAGTGCTGATCAGAGGTCAGCCTCTGCCACATACGTGATCTGCTATATAAGGACTGACTGACTGAGAGAAAGTGAGTCAGGAAAGTGCTAAATGTCGTCCTGACAAGTTTGTTTAAACCCACAAATATGTGAACTAAATTAAAAATACAGTGCCAGAGGAATGCTGGTGTTGTTGTAGTTGCACAATAATTGCATCAAGCATTGCAGCTCTTGTGGAGTTATGGGTCTGTGGGAGCAGCAGTCCAACCCTGCAGGAACACAAAGTATCTCTTCTGTAAACATTTGGACGTGTCTGAGTTGTCTCAGTAGTCTAAAGGGAAATTATCCAAGTGCGTGCATTACAAATGGCTGTCTTGATTTAGCTGCAGGCTTTTCAGGATTGTTACACAATGTTTGGGATCCTGTGAATTTAAATCATAAAACTCACTCAATACTTAGGATAGGAATAGATTACTAACAGGGCAAGAGGGGGAAAATGCCCAGAACCCTCTGGTGCACGGTATTTCAAGTACTTATTTGTGATTTGTTTGTGAATTTGCACCAATATCAACTGGGTACTGCATTATTATGTCATCTTTGGGCCCTAGAAAGACCCTGTGTCCAAATCTAGTCCCAGAACCTTAATTATTGCAGCCTATTTTATATTGTGCTCCCATGGTGCATTTTGCTTTTCATCAAATCACCACAATATAACTCAGCAGTAAATCTGGGCCATGGTAATGGGTCTATTCTAGTTGAGAAATATTAGTAGATGCTAAATATAATGAATCTGCCATCTATAATGGGCAATAGACCGTTTCAAACTTGACAACATAGACTGATTTATGAATCCAAGTGTATTTCCTGTTGGGATGTTTGTTAATGCAGTAGCTAACAAAGAAATTACAAAAGATACTTATAGCTTCCTTGGAAGTAAACATGGACCCAAGCTGTTACTCAAGCAACAGAACAGCAATGAACTGGTCTATATGCAGAGTTAAAGAGTTAAAGAAAGCAGTGGAGCATGTACTGATTTAATGCGAGAAGAGGACAGGGCAGACTGTATCTGCTTAGGAGACTAAGGTCCTTTGGAGTACAGGGTGCACTCCTGGGGACCTTCTGTGGTGGCATCACACATCCTCTATGGAGTGGTTTGTTGGGGCAGCAGCATCTCGACAGCTGACAGGAAGAGACTCAACAGACTGATAAAGAAGGCCAGCTCTGTCCTGGGATGCTCCCTCGACCCTGTGAAAGGGGAATGATACCCGAGCTATTATCCCATACTGACAACATGTCCCACCCCATGCGGGACACACTGTCAGCACTGGGCAGCTCCCTCAGTGAAAGGCTGCTTCACCCGTGGTGTTTGGAGGAGAGGGACTGCAGGTCCTTCCTTCCTGCTGCTGTCAGACTATGCAACCAACACTGCCCTCAGTAGACCACACATACAGAAACCATGGACAGTCAATCATCACTCATGTGCAATATCTGTATCTGTATATGCAAACTGCGAAATATCTACACTTATATGTGCAATAATGTAAATTCTGCCACTCTGCCTGTCTATCTATTTATTACGATCAGTCACTCAGGTGCAAATTAGCATTAGTATTACTTCTTTTGACGCTTCCTCGGTATATTGCTTTGTGTTTTTATACTGTTTGCTCTTTGTTTTTGTACAGTTTACTCATTTTTACATGCTTAGATATATGCTGCTGTGTACTTTATTTTTTTCTACTGATGCTTCCTGTTTGTATGAAGTATGTGTGAGTATGAGGAAGAGAGAAGGGCTATGATTGCAGGTTTACAGAGGTCAGGATGACTGGAGGCCAGGATTAAAGTAGTGCTTGTGGGGACACAATGAAGGGAGGAAATGGATATTAATATTTTTGAGTGCAATGGGACTAACCAGAAGACTAGAAAAGGATAACAGTGGACGAGTAAAACCAGAGGGAGGCAGCAAAGCAACTTAAAGGATGACAGCTACAGTAAAACTCCAACGAAGAAGAGCAGTGTGTGGTTCCCTCCCTGCCGGTAGGGGGCGCTGTGTCGTCTGAAGGTTGTCCCAGTAAAGCTGGTTGCACTTCCGGTTCCTAGAGGCACGGAGCCGCAACATCAACAGCCACATACAGATTCAAATAACAGTATAAAACTCGTAACAGTTAAAGCGGTAAGATTTTGGTTAGGTGTTATTGACACTGACAATATTACAAATTAAATGCATCGATGGGTCGGGTCAGATCCGGGCTCTGCCGAGCATCAACGGCATCTAAAGCTAGCGTTAGCAAGAAGCTAACATTAGCTTAACGTTACACTGGCTCGATTACTGCGCTTGTTCGGGGTTTAAAACACGATAAATCATTTTTTGTGTGTATTTATTTCGACTGGTAATCATTCATATGAATAGGTTGTCAGAGTAAACATCAAGCCAGCTATATTAGGCTACTTTAAAGTTAGCTGGCTACATGTACAACATAGCATAGCTGCCTTATTCATACTGATGAACCATCTGACTCTAACGGTCCTCCATATTTTTCATTAGTAACTTTCTGCTTCTCTGTTTGTTTCAGGAGTCTGAGGATGTCGGGACAGAAGCGTCCTGCTGACCCCAGCGGCCCCTCGTCCTCCGGTGCGCCCCCGGAGAAGCGGAGGGAGAGGGAAGGAGAGGATGGGGGTCCCGGTGTCAGCGCTGCTGCTGCGGGGAGCACCGCGGTGGAGACTGTCATCAAACTGGGAGGAGTGTCCAACTCAGTGAGGCCCCTTTTATTATCCATTACAGCCAGTATATGTGTTCACAAGTGTCACCTCGGAAGTGTAAAGGCTGGGTGTTCTTTGGCTGCCTTTTTCTTTTTGCACTCATGTTTGCATAATTTATTTTTCAGGAAGAACAAGACATCAAAGCTCTCCAGGCTAAGAACCGAAAGTTGGGAGAATCTCTCGATCAAAGACAGGTAACTTAACATGCATAAGTCTTTATATACACACACACACACTCAGAAGAAGCTGCATATATGTACTCTCTTGTGTGGAGAGGTTCATCTCTTGGCTTGGTTGATCTGCAGGTGATTGAGGATGAATTGCGAGAACGAATTGAACGACTAGAGACTCGCCAGGCCACTGATGATGCCAGTCTGCTAATCCTCAATAGATACTGGAACCAGGTAAACAAGTTCAGACAGGGAAAAAAGAGCAAAAATAACTTGCTCAACATCATCACTTTCCTGTAAAGACCAAAGAGTCGAAATGTGATGCTCTTCTCTTTCTTTTAGTTTGACGAAAACATTAAGCTGACCATCAGGCGTTACGATCAAGCAAGCAGCGAACCTGAGAAATCTCAGGCAGGGGAGGCACGGAGCCTGAAGCCAGAAACTCCAGAACCTGATGGCGACTCCAACCAGGAGCGGGCCAAGGACAGAGGTAAAGATGGAGTTGACATGGGATCGTGACTTTGAAAGCAGTAACATGTCGCAGTTTGAGTAACGAAACAAACAAACAAACCCTCTTTCCTGCTGTTGTCACTCAGGCCACCAGGGAGAGACCAACAACTCCTTCCTCGCCACACTGGCGAGCAGCAGCAGTGAAGAGATGGAGGCTGAGCTTCAGGAGAGGGTTGAGTCAAGCCAGAAGCAGGCCAGTCATGTAATGGAGATCTATGAGAGTCTGAAGAAAACCGTGGA